GTTAACTAAGGCTGCGTTCGGAATAGCACCTGTATTGTTAGTAATCACTACTAGTACTAGCTTTCTAATGTACTGCTCGTATTCACCCTAGATTTGTAGAACACGTAACAAACGCTACGATCAACAATAACGGGCCAGGCGTGAATAATTGGGGCCCTTTGCATCTGGTAGGACATAGTCTCGGCGCTCACATTTGCGGATTCGCCGCAAGAGAGCTAAACAAAAGGCAGAACAGATGGGCTGTGCAGAGAATCACCGGTTTGGATCCAGCGCAGCCGTGTTTTCGCAATACTGACACGTCTGTTCACTTACATAAAAGTGACGCACCGTTCGTTGACGTGATACATACAAACGGCAGATTACTCACGAGTCTAGGTCTTGGCTTACCCGAAGCTATAGGTAGCTCGTTGATTGAAGCTTAATCCATCAATAGCTTGTCGCGCCCTTTTTCCTTCTCCTTTTTTTTTTTCGATGTACTTGTTGGACGATGTATAATTTTGGGATCGTAAGTTCCCAACGAAAAACTCGTTTATTTAATTTTATAATCGTTATCCTAATGTATAGGTCACATTGATTTCTATCCAAATGGCGGTAAAACACAACCTGGCTGTGCAAAATCGGAATCATCGTACTTTAATTATTTACCGATTCCTGTAACTGGTTAGTGCTAGTAACACGATTATTATTAACTGGACTAAAGAACGAGAGTAAAAAAAAAAATGTTATTATTGCACTTGTAGAGATAAAACGAGCGATATGTAGCCATGGACGTTCTTACGTCTATCTCACTGAATCTTTGATATTCGATACCGCGCACAATTGCAGTTTCTGGGCACACCAATGGAATTTGACATACAGGCATCTTTTACAAATAATCGCGGAACCATGCGATAGAAACATCTGCACGGAAATGGGCATTAATGCAGAAAAATACAATCAGCGTGGAACCTTTTTCGTGCCTACAGCCAGTATTAGTCCATTTTGCGGTAAATGTGTTGTGGTACTTGCGTTAAATAATGACGTAATTATTTGGCAATCTTGTTACAATCATTTTGTTGTACAGCCAATAGCACCGATGTCATAGAGGAGGTAAAGAGGCAACTGCAACAGGATCACCTTGGCGACATGGAGGATTGACAAATTGCACATTGTACTAGACAACTTATTTGCAAATAAATGTGTTAGCATTGTGGTAATATGCTTAAATAATTTCTTATATCTTGATATTTACAATTGATTGTTTGCATAATACAAATAATCGCGTGCGCGCGTGTGCGCGTGTACATGCACAATTTTTTATATTTGTTTGCACGCGCGTTTTTATCCTCTCGCGTAAATTATTTCGAGAGTCCACTATACTTATTATTCTCTCACAATTCCTCAATAAATTACAAAGAGAACGTTATCATACATAATGTGATAATCTTGGCGTTAAAAATGAGATATTTATACAGCATGCTTGAAAAGTAATATTCCTAAGACGGAAATATAGCAACAGCTCTAAGGAATAAAATTGTTAAGTGCACAAATAAGTAATCATAGTCATTATGACAACATAATTTATCAATGTAAACAAAAAATCAATACAATTTGTATCAACATTTCATGCTAAGGAAGTAACTTGAATTCTTGTCAGTAATACAGATCGTGCAATTAAGTTTTCAAACATAATGTATTGCATATCTTGACAAAAATAGGTAATATATATACGCACGATGAATTAAAATGCATTGTCAGAATTAATGTAAAAATACTCGGAGTCGAGATACGTGTGTAACTCGGATCGACTTTTTCAGAACGGTACACAAAGAAATATTAATTGTATAGTAGTAAGAATGATATAAACGTATGTATAAACGCAAATAGTGTGACGACATGATTAAAATATTTCCACCAGACCTTGTCGACACCAGACGTATCGGATGTGGTAACTACTATTTGGTATGGTATTAATTCTCAATTAATTTTTATACGAGCTTGAGGGCTTGAGCGAGTTCGCGGTTGAAATACCCTTGATTTGTGCGTACAAAGTAATCGTTGCGTGTAACGCTATTGGCACATTATAATACTCTTACTTGATTTAACGAAGCCAGATGGAAGAAGCTCCTAGAGGAGGATACTATCGTCATCGCGTCATGTGGAATTCTTTCAAATTCTTTAAACGTGTAGTCTAAGCAAATCGATAATAAATCATTCGTGTTTACTAATGAATGACTTGGACGTAAGTGGCAGGGAATATGCCGGTACGGCCTCTGCACTCGCCTATCCACCAGCCGTCTGGCTGTTTCTGATGAACGGTTATCAGGTCTCCCGGACTGAGGCTGAGCTCGTCGTTCAGATTCGCGGAGTACTGATAGATCGCTCGACACTGCTCCGTGCGTTCAGTCTTGGCCGTCGCTACTTCCGTACCATCAATCTGGTTGTTGTTGTCTTCTGAGTGACTGCTAAACTCGTCAAAATCGCTGAAATCATCCTCGTCCGGTGGATTCTCCGAATTGCCATCACCGGCGGTTCGATCAGCCCAATCGCGAGTCTCGGCGTTCTGATCCTTGGTCAAATGCATCTCGAGTTCGTCATCACTGTCCTGAATCTCGAAAGATTCGTTCTTTGTCCAAGAAGGAATCTGCAAGGAGAGAGAACGCGTTGTCTTCCATTTTATCGAGAGAGCTTATGATTTTGTACATAAAAGTTTAGAGCACGTAGTTTGTTGTACGTTTGTCCGATAATATAATTCCGCCCGATAATCGTTCCGCGCACTCCGCGAGCTTGATTTACATATAAATTTCTCTGGCACGCTACTATACCTTGAGAACACTTTGTTGCAAACCCTGCTTGTCTCTCGAGACCAAGATATGCTCCGACAAGGGATGTTTGCTCCGTTTGCTACCTTCCACTTCGGCAAGCGTACCGCCGACTTTATATCTAGCCGCCTCCAAGTATAGCAACATCGAGCGCATCTGCAAAAACATATATATGCGTGACAATTATTCACTAGCGCGAAATAATTCCCTATCTAATTACGTCAGATAAGTATTACGGCGATAAATGCAAGTGTAAGGAGACGCGTACATGATGTAGCTTGTCCGTCACGTTTTGCGTGCTCTCGTCCGCCGCGAACGCCGGAGTCTTGACAAAGGCTCGGTGTAACGTTTCCAGACCTTCTCTACCTCGTCTTTCCCTCTCCAGATCTTGTCTTATCAGATGCAGCACCCTCACCAAGGCCTGCTTTCGCCGTTCGCGATTCATCGCCAGCGTGACATGCTCGGCGTAGAAATCCGGCAGCAATTGTTCCGCGTTTGTCACATCGTGATTATCCATTCGGCGTACGAGATTTTTCAGGATCTCTAGATCCTGCGACACGTTACAGCTACGCACAGGCGTCAGCAAGCGATCGACGCTCTGAGAAAGTATAATATACATACATATTCAAAGTGAGACGTTGAATATTATAATACTCATTGTCAGGCTCAGGCCCTCAGGCCCGACAAATGTAAATGAATATAAATTAATAATAGAGAGAAATAAAAAGGGTGGGCGTGTGGTCATCCGGGGCTCCCTGTTTAATCGATTAATTCGTATTATACCTGCTGCAATCGCGGAGCGAGCGCCTGCAAGTGCGTCAAGTACACGTTGGCGAGGTCCTTCAGGGCGCTCAGTCGCTCCTCCTCGAGCAGTTCCATCTGCTTCGCGCCCTTCCTCATCGTGCTCTCGTACTCGAGCCTGGCCCTCTCAGCTCTCACGCTGACCGTGTAGAATTCGGTGTCCGCTCGGCGCGACGAGTCCTCGGCCTTCCTCCGTCTAGCCTCCAGTTTGCTCGCTTCCTTCTCCGTCATGTGATGACTCGACGACCTGTTGTTGCTCTGCTGGCTTTGACCGATGGTCTGTAGCCGCGCCAGATCCTGTAGCCTCTCGTTCTCGCGCGCGCACGCAAAGCTCTGCTTTTTGCTCTTCGCCGTTACCCCACGCCATTCCTGAAGCGACTTGGATGCCTTGTCCACCGAGTTTTCGATGCTCTTCCTCGACCGGCCCTGCGTTTCAGCTACGCCCACCTGCACACGAGACAATGTACGCGTTATCGCCTTTCGTTTCTCGATCACGAGGTCGAATCCTTTCCTCTCTCGACTCTCTCGAGGTTTTCAACATTTCATCGGGAGATGTACGCAACCTCGTAACGTCCTACCTACGTCCTACGGTCATCGAATCACCCCGTTCTTCGTGCGTCTTTTCGGTTCGAGCTTTCGCTAAGAGAAAGTCGGCTTAAAATTCGTCTAGTCGTCTAGAAACGTATCTGTCTGCGGAGTAATATATAATCTCATGTACCAAATTGCCACCTTAATATTTGCGATTCGATACGCACTTTTCGCCAATGTAATTCGTAAGAGACGAGACAAGAGAGAGAGAGAGAGAGAGAGAGAGAGAGAGGAGAGAGGAGAGAGGAGAGAGATAACGTGCCAGGGTAAATTTTCCTCACGCGCGCAATCTCCGATTTTAATAATTGTTTAATCAATCATCATTGTTTCGCAACGCGACGCGACGGCGACGTTGCGTAAGTCGACGCGGTTGCGCGCGTCCAGTTTCTTCCTCACGGTCATCACAAGCTTCGTTTATATAAATCACGATTATAAAGGCACCGTTTCATCTCCTTATAATATTGACTATTGACAAGAGACTCACTCTTAACTTACTCTGAGCGGTTTGGCGAGTTGTTCGCTTAACGCGATGCCCCATAGTCGGTGGGCTTCCGCCGCAGCCTCCATCTCCTCGCCGACACACCTCCATGCCTCGTTCACACCTCCGTTGCTATTACCACCTGCATTACGAAAGAGAAGATCGCGATCCGTGCTTGGAGGAGATGATATTGCTATGGGAACCGCCTATCTTGCCTAATCTCGCACCGCGCTCTCTCATCGATGGATACTTATTTGCTATACGCTCGATAAGTGAAAAGATAAACCTCATAGAGGCCTCGTAGGCCTGATAAACTGAGAGCAGTAATAATATAAAGGAGAGCAAAGATTTTTACTTCAAAATCTAAATCTAAATAAAGGTCTAATCAGGTAACTCACTTATACATATGATAGGTACATTGCATAATGTATATCTTTCGCGGAGTAAAACTCGCATCGAATCTACAATATACATAAATGTAATATACATATGTAGGGTATGAAATGAATTTCTCCAATAATATTTGCGGTGCAGAAAAACTTTACGATGCTCTTATCTATACTTATTAAATCAAGTCAAGTTCTCGCTATATATAAAGAGATATTCTGGATACTCTAATTGTAATTCATCTCATTGTTAAATAAATATAATTGCAATTATCACGTATTATTATTGAATGCAAGTAACCGACGCGACGCAATGGACGCAATGATTGCAATGACATAAAACCTCTTGTACCGAACAGAACCGACAGTCACCTTGATCCTTGGCGCAGGCCTTTGTCAGCTTGCTACTGAGTTTGCTGAGCCCTTTCGCGTACGTAGCTTCCAGTTCGGCTCTGAAACATATATTTTCG